TATGATGGTGCTGGGCCCCAACCCTGACATAGGTGGACACAAACACACACAAAAAAATGAAGCTGAGCAAATTATGCATCAGAGGGTGGCCCCCAGGAATGCAGAGGAAAGAGACAGACAATAGGTGAGACAGGCATTTAGGAAGGTGTTTCCCCAAAGTACATTTTGCTTTTTGGTTTGGTTTCATGATTGGATTTATTTTCTATATTTATTTTTGGAAAGCGCAGAGAAAGGAGTGTCAGAAAGGTTAGATATGAAACAGACCTTCCTGGTTAGTACATGTGACCACAGATGCTGACATTCCTTTTCCGTTCCTCCTTGTCTCTGTTCCCAGCCCAGATGTCTCTGGACACTGCTTGAGCCATCCCTGGCATCCCTGCTGTTGCCATGGTGATGGGGGCAGTGGCAAGGCTTCCCTAAGAACTGGAAGAACCCCTGCTTTCTCTCCTTCACCAAGACAGCTTCTGGGTGCAGCCCCATGTGGCTGGCCCTCTGCTCGCACTCAGCGTCCTCTCTATTGCTCTCCCTTGCCCACTGGCCTTCAGCCATTTCGACTTTCTTTTGGTTCCCAAAAGTGGTACATTGCCTGCTGCCTGGAAGCTTTCAAACATTAGGTTTCCTATGGTGGGTACAACCTTTTCTCGATACCCAGCGAACTCCAATGTCTTAGCTCAAATTCCCCTCTGTCAACAAATATTCTTGAGCACCTACAACCTGTCCCATGCCATTTGAGGTGCTTGGGGCTATATCATTGAACAGAACAGACAAAAAGCCCTGTTTCTGTGGACCCACTTGCTATCTCTTCCTTAAGAAGTTCTCCCTGCCCCCCATCCCCCAGGCAAGTCTTCCAATATATGACAGATGTTACTTGTGCACTATTTATTAAATGCCAGTTCCCCTACATTAGACCGTAAGTTCTACAAAGTGGGGATTACATCTATTATTCACCACTATATACCCAGTACCAGCACATTGTCTGACTCCCAGTAGGTGCTTGGTATATATGGGCGAAGAAATGGATAAATGAATGGATGAGTGATGAATATATATATATAGTTGGTAAGTAGCAAAATCAGGTGTGAGGATCACATACATCTGAAAGGAAGTTTCTGTTGATCTATGAGGCTCATGAAGAAACTGCACTGTGCTTTCAGTCCCAGAACTTACAAGTTTCTCACTCATCCTTGTCGGGTCTGGATCTCCCATTGCCTAAGCTTTAGGCATTTCATGATTTTTAAAAATGGCTGTGACCATGCCTGACTTCAGCCAGCAGCTGTGTGCCTGCCCTCCCAGTTTCACCCTCCCTGGATGGAGATCTCCAAGGGAAGCCCTGGTGACAGGAGACACTCTTAACTCATAAAAACTAGCACCCCATTTACTCAGTGTGCCCGCAGCCCTATCTTCCCCTGGGCTGTGGTGGTGCCCATGGTCTTCATTTGCATCCATCATTTTCATGTGCTTTGCACTCAGCTACGCTGGTATTCAGAGAAAAATGCTGCCATGACAACTGCCACAACAGATGGTATTTGATCAGTCTCTAAGTTACCAAGGAGCTATACAGCCGCGCTTCTGAGACTTGCATATTTTATGCTATCGTGAGACCCAGTCCAGCCTTAATCATGATTGAAATGTTAAGTTTTCCATTTGCCTCTTATCCCTCCTTCTCTTTCCAGTCATTTGACATTTGTTTTGGTTTTCCTTGCTCTCTGGCTATCTTGGGTGGAGATCTACATCTGGATGTGAGAGACAAAGGCTGCAACATACATAGTTCATGGAAGTTGCCCTGCCAAGTCTAAAGTTCAGAGACTGTTGAGAAACTATTCAACTTTGGGATGGAGATTCTGGCTGAGACAGGGAGAAAGGCTTCATTGCAGCCCTTTTCTCTTGGGTGTTCATGGACCACATGGGGTGGAGGCCACATATGGCACCAAACAAAGGGAAGCCCTTGGAAGTGCATCTTGGTCTAAACCTCCTCATTCCTCCAGCATCTTTCTGCTCCCAGGGTCTCTGAGCCACATCGTGGTTCCACCTTCAGGCTTCCAGCCTCCGCCCCAGCTAATGCTGTAAACCCCAGGGTCTCCATCCCAGAGCTATGGCAACAAGTACAACAGCCTCCTCAGCCTGCCCCCTCAACATCACTGGAATGTCAAACTTAGCACACATTTCTTCAGCTAATTTTGGAAAGTAGTTTATATTGGCCGCTATGTGTTAATGAACAGCCTTGGCTGTATTTACATACTTGCTGGTTAAGAGCCTTTTCCTTTGCTCTGCCTCCCAACTTGAACCGGGTCCTCATCTTGCACTGTGTGTCTGGATCACACATGAGCCTCGTTAAAGACGAGTCCGCGGACGCCCTTGTACTGTATGAGAGCTGGGCTCCTGCCACCAGGCCGGTCCCCTCTCGGGGTTTGGTGGCAGTTTGCAGTCTCATGGCATATGAAGATGGGTTGTTTACCTGGGCAGTATTTGGAAGAAAACTTTAAGGTGAAATTTAATCACAAGAGCCTGGATCAAAGACGCTTTCTCCCCTTCTGATCTCATTCCAAGCGCAGCCAGGAGGTTGGAATCCAGGGCTGACCCTGCTCTGCTGCCCGGCTCCGCTCTCTTCCCGGGGTGCAGATGAAAAGCGTGTGGGTCTCGGCCGCCTTGTCAGGAGTGATTTCTAACCTCAATGAAACATTATTAAAGAGTGGATTTGAGGCTCAGGAATGTTTTTTGAGCTCCTCTGTGAGCAGAGAATTCATAATGGAGGGGGGAAATTTTCAGGGCATTAGATGGGCTTATGAATCGTCTTTTAAATGATGACCCAAGTTCTTATTTTTGGTTTTAACAAATTCAGGGAGTGCAATCTGGCCATCGCATATTGCTCCCTGCTTCACCTCTTAGGAGAAAGCACCCTCGGTGCCCTTAGCCTCCTCTCTTCACCTAATGAGGGAAGCTCCTAATGCTTCCCTTGTGGATATGCTCTGACTCTCCCTGGAATGGAGGGATGTAGGGGTGTGTGGAATGTCTCTGTGGACCTTAAAGAGAAGCATTATAGAAATGTGGGCTGCTGGACAGGGAGGAGGACTCTGACCACCGCTATCAGGAGAGTCAAGCACAGTGCCTGGCCCAGAGCAGACATCCCAACAATATGTTGGCTGGATGAGTGACTGAAAGGATCATGTCACTCAGGTTTATCCATCGTGGCTCTATTGACAGTTGCATTGGATAATCCTCTGTTGTGGGGCTGTCCTGTGCAGTGTAGTGTGTTCAGGACTAGATACCAGGATGCCCCCTACCCCTATTGTGACAACCCAAAATGTTGCCAGACATTGTCACGTGTCCCCTGAGGGACAAAATTCTTAGACATTGTCACATGTGCCCTGAGGAACCAAATCCTTGCTCCTTCTCTCCCTTTCTCCCCCGCCCAGTGGAGAACTACCCATCTAAATTATGGAATGCATTAAAAGAGTAACAGGGCTTTAAAAAATTGACAGGAAGAAAAAATAATCTAGGTAACGTATTTATAATTATTCATTCCTTTAATAGATTTTAACATTAAAAGAAAGCCCAGTAGGTGGCTGAATTGAAGCATACCACAGCTAGCCTTGCAAGAAGTTACTACTTACTTTAAATGATAGTGTATGCATTGAATACTCTGTGAATGGGACAAGTAAATGGTCTTATGCTCATTGGAAGAAAATTTCTATGGAATTACAGTGTGGTAGCAAAGCAGTGCTTCTCTTACATATGTTGGTGGGTCTCTTTTAATTTGGTGTCACTGCTCAGACTCAGGGTTGATGGATTCTTCTGAAATGGGTGCAGTTTTATTCAGGTGTCTCAAGGCTTAATTTAAAGCATTGGAAGATGTGAAGACGGAGGGTAGAGAAGGAGGATGCTGACATCAGGGGGAGGGTGGACATGACCTTCAGGAAGACTGCTGGAAGCCTGGAACAGACTCTACTCCAATTAGAGCCCTTAACATGCCGACACTTCACCTCAGTGGCTATGAAGGAGGCATCAGGATATTGCTTGGGGAGAGGGAAGGCAGATGGTTACATGTACACTGTGAGAGACAGACATTTATTAATGAAAAATTAATTCCATGGGTTAGAAACTTGTTTGAGTTCACAAGAATGTGTAGAGTTTTGGGGAGGTCAGGTAGGCTGTGGGTAGTTGTGGAGGTGAGGGGGATCTCCATTGTGACATATAAATTGTGTGAAATTCAAAGATTCCTGTGCCAAGTCAAAAGCAATTGCCTTTACTTATGGTCACCATTGACATTAATCAAGCCCGAACACTTTCCTGTAGACCAAAAAATAATTAGCCCTGACAACTGAAGTCAAATCAGACCTTTGGAGATGACCTAATGGGTCTTTTGTGAGAGCTGGACATTGGCTTGTCCTTGGCCGTGGCATCAGCCCTGGCAAAGGTGGCTGTGGGGTGTGCCCCTTTATGCCACAGAAAACACAAAGGTCAGAGAGGTTCAGCAAGGTCGCTGCCCTCCCTGGTCATCTGCAATGCCTGCCATCCTGAGAATTTTGTGAGTAAACACTACCCAGATTCCAGCTGAAACTCCCATTCACTGCGCATTGGACTGCTGGCCGCCTTGGTGGCTAGAAATTTCTCCCAGCTGCTGGCAGACGGGTGGGTCTGCTAACCTCGTCCCCACCTCCGTTTTTCGGGCAGCTGCTCAAGTTTTCAGGATTGCACTGGTGACAGTGATCAACAGAAGAGCTCCAATTCCACCCTGGTTATTTTTGGCAGCCGTGAGCAATCCAAGACCTCGACTTTTGGCTCTGGGCGATTGGGAGATTAGGTAACCTTTTCCTGTGCAAGTACAGACAAAGTAGAGTCCTGACCTGCATCCATTCATGACCTCCTGGGTTTCCTTGTCGAGAACTTAAGCGATGCCTGTTGAAGCCTCGCTCTGACATAGCACTTCATTTCTAGTTAAGAGATGGCTCTGGAGAAGGCTGAGCACTGATTGAGTGTCTGCTGTGTTTTTTTCCTCCTAGATTGAAAACATAGATGCCTGCTTGAATTTCCTGGCAGCTAAGGGAATAAACATTCAGGGGCTGTCTGCAGAAGGTGAGTCAGCGCTGGTCACCAGGCGGTCTTTTCCCCCTTAGAAATACCCACCTGTTTCTTATTGACAACATGAATGCACTAAAGACAGGAGACGCTGGTGGGCTCTTCTGGTTTTGTTTTTCTTCTGGTTTGGAGGCATCTCAGTGCATGTCTAGGCCTGAGGGTGCCAACTTTCTGAAATCCTAAAGAATCCCTCCAAGAATGCAAATTCGACCACACTGGCCATGTCTGCAAGACACAGCGGGGAGTAGTGAAGACAGCGGCTTCTCGGGGAAGGGCTCAACCAGTGCTGATTTTAGTCACCTGACGAGCAGGTCAGTTAATTATCAAGCCGGGCCTTATCTGTGGGAGAGAGAACACTTAACCACAGAACATATTTAAACTGCACAGTTCCCAGGGAGAAAGGCCGAATCCTTATCTCTTAGTTGTATGAGAAGAAGCAGTACTTTTCCCAGGTTAGAAAAATAAATAAAAGCGTTTGATGTATTAATGAGACGCTACATGTTGACATCCTGATTAGTTTTTAATTAACTCAAATTTGGTGGCTAATTAGCACATTCGTGCTTGCTGGTGGTTTGCTATTGGTCTGGAGGTGGCTGGTCTGAATTCTCAGCCTCCTCGGGCAACATCTTGCTCTGGAAACGTTCGCTCTCTCTCCTATTTGTAAACACAAGCAGCTGCCAGCTCCAAAGCTGCCATAGGCCCCGGCATCCTCCCAAACTCATTAGGCTGCACCTGCCTCCACTTTTCCCAGAACAGGTAAAGCAGTTTGGGCTTCGGATGACACCACTTTTCTTTAGCAAGGTTGGCATCCACTCCAGTGGTCAGGGTGGGGAGGGGGTAGCATGAGGAAGGAAGCAGTCCAGTGGAGCAGGTAAGTTTGCTGATGGATTCCGTTTGGGACCTGTTTCTTGCCTCTGCTCTGCTCTGCAGTGAAAGCTTGCTTTTCCTGGCTGTGTTTCTGAGCTGCAGTCTCTTCCAGTGTTGGGGAGGGGGTGGCCACCACTGATGCCTCGTGGGTGTTTCTTGTCTCTGAGTGGGGCTATTGGAATACCCCTGTGGGAACTCAAGTGTGCCTCGCCTGTCCCGGGTCAGGCATGGTCACACTGCCGCCAGAGGCCTCTGAAGCAGCTGTAGAGTGTGAGCCCTATTCCCAGCTCTGAGAGGAGGGTTCTTGGTGGGTTTCCCTGTCCCTGGGATGTGAGCCCTCTTCCCCCGGGTTGAGATGCAGGTGGAATGACATGTGGCGTGCACATGGCTGGGGTATGGGGTGATTGATTGGTGGTGTTTCCATGGATAGGTCGGGAGATGCAAATTCCCATTCTGAGGAACCTGTTCCCTCCTGGTGGAGAGTCCTTGTCCTGGCCAGTAGATGGCAGGCACAGGCTCCTTCCAGTTTCTGGGAGTGTTTGGACCACAGGCCTGGGCCAGTCCAGCAGAGCATCAGCAGGGACTTTACTGAGTCATGCTCAACAGAAAGGGCTCTTCAGAATGTGAACCCCTGGCCATTCTGCCATCTATCTACCCATTGCCCTGCCTTCTACCTCATTCATCTACACACACACACACACACACACACCCCTACCTACCTGCCTGCCACCTGCCTCATCCTCTCTATATCTTAAAGCATAGAGAATCTACTCAATAAGTATTTGTTGAATAAATAATACCAACTGCACCTTTAAGACTCTTATGTGCATTGACTCCAGCTCTCACAACTGAAGTTGGAATTTATAATAGGCTGAGTGTACAGAGGAGGATACTTTGGCTTAAAGAGATTATGAGTGGCATCCCTAAGCCCTGTAGCTAGTGAGTGTCAAAATCAGAACCCAGGTCTGTGTGATTTCAGAGCTCATGTTCATGGTGTCTGTTGGGACAGCAGATGGATAAAATCTATGCCATGCACAGGTGCAAAAAAGCAGAAAAGTTTGAGAACTCTGCTGGACCATGGAGGCATGTCATGCAGAGGCACTCTGCCCTCCGCCCCTCGTCGATGTTGGAATATAGCCCTGTGAGTCTGGGCATAGAGAGGCATAGTTATAACCAGTGTGTTGAGGTATCAGTTATTGGGTTTATGGTATTTCGGTAATTGCCCCAACTGTTCTGTGTTGTTCCCCATCTTTCCTGCCAAGTCAAGACTCATGTAATGATATTTTGGCTGAATTTATTACCCTTCAGTCACGCTCATTATTAGAACAGTTCTATGTCAATACTTATGACCCAGTCCTGTTCAGTTTTAAACTTCAACCTCAAAGCTCTTTTCCCCCACCAGTGCAGGTGGCTTTGGAGGTTGAAGGGGGTGGGGCATAATAATGTGACTTCCTTTCCCTTCCGTGGTTCCCAGGCCAGGCCTCCAGGACTGGGAGAGCTCAGAGAAGCAGAATTGGGCTGGTGGTGAAGGTGCTGTCCCCTCCTGGGTAATAGCTACTGTCCCCACTGGGAGTCTCTGCACTCCCTGCTGACCAGACACTCCCTCCCATGCTGCTCCCAGGGCCCGGTGGTGTTTGTGAGATTTGACCAGCTCTTGCAGCTCATTTCCAGCTGGTAGCATTCAGGTCCCATCCTCCTGATTCAGGCCACCTTCGTCTCCACACTACACTGGTCCTGGTAAGGCTCTAGACCTTGGGCTCATGATCCTTCCATTCTCCACCTTAGAACCAGGCAGGGATGGGTGGCCTTGCCTCTAGTGTAGGCACCAGGCCCCTCTCTGTTCATGAGAGATAATCCCCCCCCCCACATGATCTTCTTTTTTTCAGTCTTCCCCCTCACAGAGGGCGCACAGAGGGGGCAGTTCTCACAAGTCTCTACTAACGCAGGTGTTCAACTGGGGACTAGAAAGCCAGAACTCCCACTTGCAGTGATTCTTTTAGAACCTCCTTGCCTTTGCATGGAGTACAGGGACCCCACCTTCTTGCTCCTTGGTGAAGGAAGAAATATCCTGTCTCTGTGACCATCTCCCATTGCCACCCTCCCGTACCCTCAATGACATACTCCCATCTAGATCTACTTATATTGATTTTTTTGGGGGGGGGGGGAGTAAAGGATCATGATGATGGTATTTGGTGGTAAGACTGATTCTGAACTTGTACAGTATTAAGGGATAATGACTGGGTCCAACCTTTGTCAAGTCCTTGAACTTATAAGCAAGGGTACTTAGAGCTTTTTATTCACAATTTTAGGGTTACAGGAATCTCACTTGACATACTGTTAAATCGTAGGAATAGAAACCATTGATTGAGAACTCACCCTGTCAGTCACTGAGATAAGTGCCACAACATTTTATCTTATGTAGTGTCCCCAGCAACCTTATGAGGTCAGTATTCACATGATCCCATTCATACAGATGAGGAAGCGCGGCCCAAAGAGGTTAAGTTCCAGTGGGGAAAGGGAGGCCCCAAGATCAGCCGTGGACAAGTCTCTCAGTCTGCTGATTTGAAGGCCTCCTGCTTTCCTACTGCTCACTGTTGCCCACACTTCTAACCACCTGCTTGAGTACTAGAAAGCATTATAGTGTTTAAAGAAATAATGTCGTTTTAATGCTTTTTCTTTTCCTTTTGAAGACGATTGAGTGCCTTAAGGCTCCTCCCGATGAAAAATAACATCAGCAGTTGGAAAGCCCCGTAGGTGTATCTCCACCCCTTCCCAGTGACTAAAGCTGGTTTTGGGCCCAGGAGGGTGTATGCACCTGTCCTCAAAGCATTTCAGCAGCTCAGGTCCTGCCCTGACCTGCCTCTTAGGGAACCATAGAGAGCCTTTGTTCCAGGGCACAGACAGCAGATGCCTGCGGGCAGAGGCTACAGGCCCGAGTGAGCCAGGTGGAGATGCTGCTGGTGTGAGGCACAGCCCCTGGACGAGGCCTCCTTGCCCCCTTGGTGCTCCCAAAAGTTGGACCCAACTTGGAGACTTGCCAGAGTCCTGTGAGCTTCGGCCTTACCCTGCCCTAGGTGCTTTTCAAGATCCCTTCAACCCCTCCCCAACCCACACACCACCTGTCAGGGCCATCTGTAAACCTGTCCCTGTGAGGAAGTAAGGCCTTTATCCCTGGGAGTTTGAGAACACCTGGCCCTGAGCCCATCTTCCTGTACTGGAGAAGCGGAAGTCCGGAGCTATGGCTTATCCTATCTCGTTCACCAAATGTTTGCTGGGCACATGCTATATGCCAGACACAGCACTAGGCACTGGAGTGCACAGAGAGTCCAGCCAGTCATACAAAACTAGCCTTTATTCCAATTAATAAGAGAGCTGTGCTAATGGTATGTACAGAGTCCAATGGCGCCCAAAGAAAGGCAGTGATCAGCTCTGCCTGGGGCAGTCAAGGGGGCTTCAGAGAGGCAGTGATGTTTCCCCTGGGTTTTACAGAATGCAGAGGCGTTCAGCAGACCAAAGAAAGGTGCAGAGAAATCTAGACATGAGATGGGGCATAGGTAATATAATGGGGACAAATCTTGCAGATTGGAGAAACAGAGGCAGGAAGACCCTTCCAGATGCCTCTGAGAAGGAGTGTGTGCTTTTAGAGTGAAATCGGTTGCTGACTTGATGAGCTCAGACCTGGGTTTCCTGCTCTGATGTCCACAGATGTAGATGCTGAGTTTCTTTCATCCTGAGCCAGAAAGCAGGAGGTCTTTCTGGACCTTTCGCATAAAAGCAACAAGTGGATCTTTTCTGTTTCTTCCTACCCACATCACCTGAGTGGCAGTGCACGTGGGACTGCTGCTGCCCCTCACCAGAAGGGCCCTGTGGGCTCTGCTCCCACCCCCTTGAGCCACTCCCCTCTGGGGAGAGTCATTGACAGCATGGCGGGCAGTACACAGCAGGGCTGCAAGAGTCAGGTGGAAAGTTACATGGTGAATGTAGGTTGCGGAGAGGGCCCAGCTGGAGGAATAATGCCACACAACCCACGGTCCCCAATCAGTTGGGCGAGGCTTACACCACCCACCGTGGCTTAAGGCGATTGAATAGGGATCCTGCAACTCTGCGGTCAGAGGCAACCCTCCCTTTGGCTCCGAGTCCCTTCCTCCCTACAAAGCAGGTTTCTTTGTGTTAGATTATTCCAGTGCTTGTGCCTTTGTAAATCAGGCCTGTGGTTTCTCTTAAATAATGTTGAAAGAAAATAACTCTCCTATTTATTCTACCCTTTGTGCCACATTCCCTATAGCATCTATGCAGATTAGTCCCAGCTAATGGGAACAAAGAGATCAGTCGGAACCCAGAGAGTCAAGGCAATCCGGTTTCTGATGGAAACTGGAATACAGCTGGGTACTTTGTTCTTCAGTTTACATGGGGCGGCCACCAGAGGAGAAAGGAGAGCAGGATTCCTGTGTTGGTTTAGACACAAGCTAGCCACTGTCTCCTTGGATAAGTCAACTCTCTCTAGGTCTATATTATTTCAGCGAGTGTGAGGATAGCTGATCAGATGCAAAGCAATACTCTTTCCAAAGCCTTGGGAAATGTCATGAGGGAAACATTTTTGTGGGCTGGCAGAACGACATTTTGTTTTTAGGCTTCCAGTGGAGCCAGTGTCCCAGGCCCCAGGAAACAGACAGATGACATTTAGAACTCTGGAAGGAACACAATTCTAGCTATTTTGGATACTGTCTGTTCATGACCACCCATAGTATACACTGGGTGGCTTTCAACCCCAAACAGATCCTTCACCACTCTTTGAGTTTCGTGTTCTGAAAAGAAAATTAAACAGTCCAAATGCCCATCAACTGGAGAATGGATAAACACTGTGGTACATCCATATGATGGGATAGTTGTCGGCAATATAAAACCAATGATACGTGCTCTAACATGGATGAGCCTTAAATACATTATGCTAAGTGAAGTTGTAAAGGATTACATCATTCATGATTCCATTTATTTAAATGTCCAGAGAAGGCAAATCTGTGGAAACAGAAAGCAGATGAGCGGTTGCCTGCGGACAGTGCAGGAGTGAGATGTGTATGAGCATGAAGACTCTTTTCAGGGTAATGGATATAGTTTAAAACTAGAATGTTACTAAAAATCATTGTCTATTTAAGTTTTTGGATGTGAATTATACCTCAATGAAAAGACTGTTTAAAAAAAAAGCAGATAGAAGCTCCCCATTGAGTTTTCTCTAACATGAGATTATTCATGGTTGGCTTCCTTCTTGACCCCTGTGCGTGGCACAGGGGGATGGGCAGCAGCCCCGGCTTCCTTCAGTGGTCCCTGTGCTTAGTTCTGAGGAGGCGGCAGGTAGAGTGACTCTGTTTTCTGAGCCAAAGAGGGAAGGATGAGCCAGGCAGTATCCTGGGTGCTGTGCCCTCATTTCCTTATTTATTCTTCATTTATTTCTCCTAACAACCTGGTGCGAGAGGTGCAGCACCCATCCGCCCATTTTAAAGATGAAACTGGAGCTCAGAGTTGAATCTTGTGAATAGTCAGTCAGTCTATAAATGCGAGACTGTGGGGATTTAAACCCAGGTCTTTCTGGCTCCCCAAAACAGTGTGTTTATGGGCCATTGTGCTCTTTGACAAGTAAAAAGATGTTTTAGGGAATAGTGCAACAAACCATTATGCAGAATAAATGCCTTAAGGACCACAGCAGGTGGAGAATGTGACGAAGCTGGCCCCTGGTCCACCATGGGCTGGGCTGGTAGGTTATGAGGATGCTGACGTGGACACGCCAACCTTTTGCAGCGAACAACCTCTGAGCCCTGGATATGCTGATTTGCAAGTTCCTCCCTTCTTTGTTTTGCTTGTAGGGTTTAAAAAATGTATTATGGAATGTTTGACACATTCCATAACAAAAGAATACTTACAGAAGAAGAATGAAGAGTACTTACATGACCACCAGCTAGCTTACTAAAACATTGTCTGGCGTGCCTTTCAATTCACCACACATGATGAGTATACAAGCAAGCCAAGTTCTGCAGTGTTAGGAGTCCACGCTTCAAGGCAGAAAAACCTAGATTCAAATCCCAGCTCCACCAGTTATTACCTCGGGAGATCATAAAACCTCCCTGAGCTGCGTCCCTTAAGTAAGAGAGGAATGGTAATACTCACTTCCCAGGTTGTAGGGGTTGAATGAGATTGCTCCCAGAAAGCTTAACCCAAGACATGCTAATTAGTAGTAGTTCTTGTCATAAATAAGTTTTGGCCCTAGCCGGTTTGGCTCAGTGGGATGGGAGGCCTCTTCAACTGGTCCTTGGAGGAAACTCTGTTTCTTTATCAGCAGCCGCTTCCCCAGCCTGCTGCTAACCTGGGGGGAAGGCGTTCCCTATGCGGTGAGGCTTCCCTTCCTCCAGCCCCACTCCCTCAGCTTAGGGTCAAAGCAAAGCAGAGGGAGCCCCCAAAGTTCTTCCTTCTCCCTCAGTGTCCGTTCAGACCCTGGCTATTGCATCTGGTGTTTAAGGCCCTGCACACAAGAAGAGATTGCCCTGGGAGAAACACCCTCACACCCACAGCCTCTGCCTGTGCATAAGTATGTCATTCCTTCTCTGCAGCTCTTTATTCATGTCTTGAGTCAAATGCATTTTAACATCTGAAAAACTCCATCTGGAATAAAAATTGTCTTATCTCCACACTGCGCTCTAATTTCTTTTAATAGAGGAGAGTTTTTGCATGAGTTCATAGAAGTAAGTCCTGTAGCCTATCCCCCCATTCATCCCAAATTGAAGTTGTTTATTCGGCGGAAAGAGAGACCCAGAGCCACGTGTGGGAGAGCAGGGTGACCAGGTAGAGCAGTGTGAGGACTTGGGAGTGAGGCAGCAGCCACTTGGCAACTCAGGTGGCTCAAAGTGCAGAACACGGACTTGGCAGTGACCTGCAAAGACCAGTGAGTTTTCCCCGGTGCCGGAGGGGCTCCTGTGTCCCCGATCATCGCCCAGCCCCTGGAACAAGCATGGGCTTGCTGGGGACGCTTACCTTTTTGGCTCTGCCCTTACTGAGAGTTTCCGCCTGGCACTTGCAGGCATCCAGTTGCAACTTGCCTCATGTATGAGTATCCACTCTAATGCCAGCGGGAAAATAAGCTAATTTCTTTGTGGTTTAGGCCTGGTTTTAATTGACTGTGATACCAATGACACAAGTGTTCAGGAAATCTGTCATATCCTAGACCTAGAGGAATGCCACTCAGGTGAGGGCTGAGGCAGCCCACTGGGTCGGAGCAAGAAAGGACTCCTCCTCTAACCGCTCTCTCTGTTGTCCCGCAGAAATCAGGAATGGAAACCTCAAGGCCATCCTAGGCCTCTTCTTCAGCCTCTCCCGGTACAAGCAGCAGCAGCAGCAGCCCCAGAAGCAGCACCTCTCCTCGCCACTGCCGCCGGCTGTGTCCCAGGCGGCCGGGGCCCCCTTCCAGTGCCAGGCTGGCACTCCTCAGCAACAGGTGCCAGCCACTCCCCAAGCCCTGTGCCAGCCTCACCAGCCAGCACCACATCAGCAGTCAAAAGCACAAGCCGAAATGCAGTCCAGGTGGGGGCTCCTTGCCAACTGATAATTCTGTTTTTCCGGGGCTCCTCCTTCCCACCGACCAAATTCTAGCCTGTGCTGCACATGGTATTTATGTGAGCTTCTTCCTGCTGAGAACTACTGATAGTTAGTGAGGAGTTAGCACGACCTTGAGACAGAGGTGGCCTCCTGGGCCTGGCGGTGACGTGTACTGTTTTAAAGTCAGAATCGCCAGCAGCCAAAGCTAAGGCAGAGTGTGTCCTGCCTTAACTCTGGCCTATGACACATTCGCTTGTCTGCAGTAAACAGCTCCTAAAATAGACTTCAAACTTCTCTTGCATGTTTGCCTACACGCTGGGTGTTCGGTGTTATATGTATAAGTAATTTTCCCTGTTGGAGGCCATAGTTCTCCAGCAGATAGCTCTGCTTTGCCAGGAGAGACATGTCAGGAATGAAGAAGAAAGATGGCAAGTGGTCCTCAGCAACAGCCCTTTCCTGGGGGCCAGCATCCCTGCTGGGAGCAGTTCCCATGGAATGTGCTGGGTTTTGTTGACCCTAGAGTCATGTCGTCTGTGGCCCTTTGCTCTGCAGGACTAGGGCCCGGATTTTAGGGACTGATGCTTGCCAGTGAAACTCACCATAGAGTGACGTACAAGCTGAGGGTCAGAGGAGTTTCCGTATAGGGTGTTATAGTAGGAGAAGTGCATTCCTAAACAGGTCTGCAAATCACCTTGTGGAGCATTTGTTTTAATGGCAGGGGGAAAAAAAGAGGAGATTAGGAGTTAGAAAGTTTTTAACTCATAGTAAAGTTAGAGAAAAGCCCTCTAATGATTGTTTTTAAGTTGTAAACCTTTAGCAAACCTCAATGTCACCAGTCAAATTGATTACTTGATCTCATTTAGTTTGTGCTAAAGAGCACAGGCCTTTGCTTCCAGGCCCCAGTACCAGCGTTCATAAGCACAGGGCTTTCCGCACCTTCACACCCGCAGCTGCCCATTGAGGTTAGGCAGAGCACAGAGCGGTTCACACACAGCAGGTACCTCACAGACGGTTTCATGCTCCCATGAGGAGTGCTGGTTCCCGATGGTGCTGTTCAAACCAGCAGTGCTGGATGTGATGGACATCAGACCCCCTCATGAATTATCTAATTGTGTCCAATTCACGTTATGGAGATTTGTGAGCGAGCAGAGATGCCTGGACTCCCAAGGAGGACTAGCCAGCCAGGCAGCCAGCCTCTGCACCCTGCCCTGGGGGCCATTCTCAGATCAGAGATTCCCAGCCGAGCTGGAAGGCCACATGAGCAGGACTGATTCTGCAGTGTGCTTATTACCTGGGTGATGACTTGCTGGGGGAAGGGTCTTATGGGGGAAGAAATTGGGAAATAATTTGGGTTAAGTTGTTGTAACTGTTACTGAGGTTCTCAGATCCTTGAATCTGCAACATACCTTTATTTAGTTAGTATTTGAATGACTTCTGTGTGCCAGCCACTGTTCCAGGCACTTGGGAGGTCAAGGGTGAGTGAGATAGCCAGGGTGCCTGCTCTCTACATTCTATGGGAGGAAGCAGGCACATAAATGGGGGAAGAAAAATATCAGATGGTGGTGTTACAATGAGATGATTGGATTCAGACGGACTGGGTCGGTAACTTTGGTTAGGTTGATAGGAGGGTCTCTCTGAGGGCATGACACCGAAATTGAAATATGACTGGCAAGGAGTGAGCCAGGCAGAGCATGGGTGTAGAATAGATCAGGCAGAGGGAGCAGCTGGCGCAAAGGCCCTGCGATAGGAGAAGCTTGGCGGGTGGAGGAGCAGAAAGGAGGCTGGTGTGGCTGGAGTGCAGTGGGTGCTGGGAGGTGGGAAGTTAAAGGTGGGAAGTTAAAGGTGCCACTGTTCATGTGGAGGACGTGTGAGTGATGGCCCCTGGAGTTGAGCGGTGCTATGGCCCTGAAGACGGGTCACACAGTGCTGGCTAAGCTGGGCAAGAAGTCTGTACTTCATTCTAAAGGGGGCAGGAAGCCACGGGAGAGTCTTGAGCAGGAGAGAGACTTGACTTGATTCGCAGTGTTTAAAAAAGCCACCTTGCTTATCTTTGGAGAGTGAGGTTGCAGGGGGAAGAAGTGGGGAGGCCACCCATCATGGGGAGTAAGAATAGGAGGAAGTGGTTTCTGTGGTCTCTGGATGATAGTGGCTGAGGTCAAGGTGGTGGGACACATAAAGAGATGGACCAACTCGTCATATTTTGGAGGCTGAGCCAACGGGACCACAGATAGAGTGACTATCTGGAGCGAGTGAGGGAAGATTCACAGATAAAGCCTAGATTTCTGGCTTGAGCATAGAGGGAAATGGTGGTACTGATAGAGATGAGGAAGCTGGAGAGAGGGACATGTGTGCTCTGTGAATCTTCAGAAGAGGGCATAGGAAGCATTCCTCAAACGTGGCCACAGAATTCTTATTTCTTTTTTTTAATATATTTTATGATATTTTTTTTACAGAGAGGAAGGGAGAGAGATAGAGAGTTAGAAACATTGACCAGCTGCCTCCTGCACATCTCCTACTGGGGATGTGCCTGCAACCAAGGTACATACCCTTGACCGGAATCGAACCTGCGACCTTTCAGTCTGCAAGCTGACGCTCTATCCACTGAGCCAAACCGGTTTTGGCCAGAACTCTTATTTCATAATGCATCTCACGGCCTAGGGTTCCAAAGCACACGGCTGGAGAAACACTGGGCTTGTGTCACCTGGCCAGCCTGAGGCAGCCATTTCCATGGTAGGCGTTTGTTTTCTTAAAAGAACCAGATGTTCCAGTTAGGTCACCCACCTCCCAGGAAGAAAAAACATCCTACTATTAATAAATGCTTTACCTAATGACGAGCCAAACTCACTGAAGCCAGGTTTTCATATCCATTTATTGCAGAGGGTTCCTGCCATCGCGGTGGTGACAGGGGCTGTTTTTAGAGTTGCTGTCCTTCCTCGCTCATCCTTTGTCCTGTCCCAATTGAATTACTTCTGCATATAACTGGTTTCATCGTTATATACTGATACTTCCTCTAATCTTTTTTTCCAGTCCTAGGGACATGGCAGCCCATTCGGCCCTCTGGCTATAAGTGTAAAAAAATACTAAAATTGCTTCATTGGCTCAGTTCCATTGTCTTGCTCTCCCCAAATTCTGCCTGTAGTAACCAAAATCCCAGGGGTAATGGCTTGAGTCCCTGATCATCAATGTCAGATGCTAGCCCCCAGTGCTAGGTTTCTATTGGTCCCGTGTTCGAATTTTGCCACATATGAACATGCCTACATACTGTACCTCTTTGGATAAGAAATACTAGAACTAGGCAACTTTTCTATGATGTTTGCGAAGAGGAGTTGTTGAAGCTGGCCAAAGACATACGCAACATTAGCAGGAAGGAATCAGAGCAAGGTTTCCAATGATGGCCACATGGAGACACTTTTGCCTGTCTACCACAGCTCTTCTCATTACTCTATGTAGTGGCTGAGGACTTGATCCACATTCTACCTGTCAAAGCTTCTCTATAGTCTAGAGGCCAGGAGAGGAGCCTAGTACCCAGGACTTGTTCTCTCTCCATCTGTGTCTACCTTGCATAGTATCAGTATTCAGCTGTTTAGGGAAAATCCAGAAAATCCCTTCCTTCCTTCCTTCCTTCCTTCCTTCCTTCCTTCCTTCCTTCCTTCCTTCCTTCCTTCCTTCCTTTCTTTATTTTTGTCTATTCTCTTCTGTCTCTCCCTTCACTTCAGAAGGGAGTATAGAAAGTATTCTTCAAACTTGGCCGCAGAACTCTCCTTAATTGATAGAGCCAACATTGTATTTCTAATGGCACCAACATTGTATTTCTCACCTCAGATCCTTTTAGGAACATGGATTCAAGAAAGGTAAGTATTTCCATCTTCCATTAGGCAGTACATAAGTTTAACTTTTCCTTTTACTAATCCCAACCAAGATTCTTCAGATGTACAAATATATGGCCCATAGCCCAAAACTTAGTACATTCATAATACTTTAAATGATCATTTTTACACCAATGAGAGCAAAAGTTTTCAAGATCGGCAAAACTTGCAAACATCTATACCCTTTTTGGGGGGGTCAACTTTATGGGACATTCAAGACATTCATCAGAAAAGCCCCCAGAAAAGCCTGTGAAGTAGAAGCATTAACCACTTTAGAAAAGTGTAAAGTTTGTTTTGTTTTTGTTTTTGTTTTGTTTGTTTTTTTACCTGTCAGAGACTCCTTGCTTTAGCATCTCATTGTGAGAAAAGTGCCTTATCATGACTGGTAGCAGAAAAAGGTATTTGGTGTTTAAAAGAGAAAAGAAGAAGAAAGAAAACCTCAAAAGTTTTTTGGTATTTTGGTAGCAGTTTCTTCACATTGGAAATTCATGGAATCAGGAAAGTGAGACCTAGAAAGAAAGTTGCATATTGTGGGAAAGGCGGGCAGTGGAAAAACCCGGAGCATTGCATTATCCTAAGACTGCCGTCCTTTATTTGTGTGTCTAATCATGTATCTTCTCTCCCCTCACTCAGCTCTTCCACTTTTTTCTTTTCCCATCATGCAGTGCATCATCCAAGGATTCATCTCAAAGCAAAATCATCCGCTTCACTCTGGGTCAGAAAAAGATCTCTAGGTTAGACTTCCTCTGTGTCCTGCAAAGCATGGTTTCAACCCAACCCACTGTTTCCTTTGTTCCTGCTATGTTTCCTGTTGGCCCCTCGCCCCACTTCATGTTTGCAGTTCAAGAAAACCAAACATGCTTTGGCTAATGTTGGGAGAGTTCTGAGAGTGGGTGTGGGGTCATTGGGGTATGTGTGTGTATGTGTGTATGTGTGTGAAGGGGTGGGGTGGGGAGGGACAGAGTGTAAGTGAGGTTGAGTGTGCAATGTTTCTGCATTTCATTGGTTTGGGCTGATTGCTTGATCATCAAAATCCATTCTGACTTAGGGAGAGGCGAGTGTCTAGGTGGTTTTTGCAGTGGTTTTATGATGAGTTTGGCTCCCTGCTCTGTCCTGACCCTAATCCCACCTGACCTGCATCTCATTTATGTGTGTTGTGCTTTTTGTTGTTGTTAAAACTACTAATGTGCAATTGGTTTTCTCTTGAGTTACAAAGACCTGAAGCATGACTCCAACTGGTCAGAGGAGACAAAGCAATAAGGCAGCTGTATCTCATTTTTGATTCTAGATGCCCTGTGTACCATGGAGATAGCACCTGGTTCTTCTGAAATAACAAGTGGGCTTGCTCATTAGCTAGTTCTCTGGACTCGGTGCTTGGTGTCCTCTCATTGCATCCTTAAATCTGGATGCAGGGAAGGGCCTATGGAGGGTACAGCAGGGAAGGGTTTCCATGTAGTCCTGCCTTTGACCACTGTTACTGTCTCTCGGCACCCCTGGGGAGCACCAGGTATTTGGGCTCATTCTACCTGCGGGAGGCAGAGAAGCATATTGGCTTGAGTGCACCTTTTCATTTCAACTGAGAGAAAGCTCATGCTCACCACTGACTGTGGTGCCCGGCAAATTGTTTACTCTCCATGACCCGTGTTTCCTTATTGGTGACGTGGGATAGTCCTGCCTCACGGTGCGCTGTGGTTTAGAGTCATTTCTAACCTTTAACACTTGGATGCCGTCAGTGCACCATAGCTAGCAGATATGTTGATGCTGGTGTTTGGGGTCGACCTGGGGTAGGTAAGGCAACCAGGCCACTTCCAGCAAGTCCCACGGAGCTGATCTCTACACGACCGTCTTACAGAGAGGAATCTGGGCTGCTAGAAGTTTGGCCCGGCTGCTGAAAAGCAGATGCCATGGAGATGAGAGATTTAGCATTTAATCATCTTGTCTAGCAAAAAGCATCTCTGATTATGACCCCCGGCTCCCCCACGGCCCCGAGCATGTGCACACAAGCTGCCATCCTTCCTGGGAGGGCCATCTTCTGCTCCCGGCCTTTGAAGTGGTTTTGGGGGGAAGAACAGCTTTCTTCTCATCAGCACGTACAGCGCGAGGAGCCGGGATGCACTCGCAGGTTACGTGCCAGGAACCCTAGCTTTACCGCTCTGCCTGCTGGGCTCTGCACATGTTGCAGAAATTGACCACGGCTCCAATAGCAGCAGGGTTTTTCTTCTGCCTCTTTGTTCCACCACTTCCTTTACACTTAATTTTTTTCTAAAAAAGCCACATGTGTATGTTTGAAAGAACCCATCTGTATCGTCTGTCACTTTGTACCTGTGTTTGGACATGGAATGATCATGAGGTTTGGAGTTGCTCTTCCCGAGGAGCCGCTGGAACCTTCTGGCACTATAACCGCTGCGGGGAGTAAATGACACAGGGTTGGCTGGCCATGCTCCTCTCTCTTTGCTTCGCTTCAGCAAGGCGGGCACCCTGGCAGCATCTGCTGGGATACCTGCAGCGGTTCCACAGGAGCGAGACCCAGCTCTTCAGCACAGAGGGAATCTAACGTGCAGACAGCAGCTGCTTCCGGGCTGGGGCTTGGTAGGAGTTCTCCTGGTGCATAAGGATGCTCACAGTAATGAATTTCAAAATGCTAGCCAGAGGCTCAGGCTCCCGTCACTGTGAACTAGAAGACAGTGATTCCACTCCAGTCTCAGACTCCATAATTAATGCCTCATTGCTGGGGGGCAGGACAAAGTCCAGGATTCCTACTGACATACTCTGGCCCCGCCTGCTTCTCCAGCCTCACTTCCTCCCACTCTGTTCCCCAAGCCCCAACACACAGCAGACCTTTTTTTTTTTTTTAACATATTGATTTCAGAGAGGAAGGGAGAGGAAGAGAGAGATAGAAACATCAATGATGAGAGAGAATCATTGATTGGCTCCCTCTTGCACACCCCCTACTGGGGATCGAGCCCATAACCTGGGCATGTGCCCTTGACCAGAATCGAACCTGGGACCCTTCAGTCCACAGGCCAACGCTCTATCCACTGAGCAAAACTGGCTAGGGCCCGACCTTTCTTTCCTCTCCCTTTTACAGGCGTCCCTCTGCATAACACCTCTGCCTCTCACCATGACTCCCTACCTTCTTGCCCTCTACTCACATTCCCAGTCCAGGTGCCACATCTTCTCTCGGGTTGCTTTTGTTTGGAACCCTTCCTAGCCATCCACCAACCTCCAAGGTTATCATTTTCCTTTGAAGTTGCTTCTGAACTTTGTATATTCTTTTATCAATATGCGTGTAATTTAGATGTCAGCTGTAGCCAATTAACTCCTTAAGGTCTGGACAAGATGGAGCTAGAACCCTGTCTTAGTCTGTTGGGCTACTATAACAAAATGCCACAGACTGAGTAGCTTTTAGACAACAGAAATGTGTTGCTCACAGTACTGGCATCTGGACATCCAAGAGCAGGACACCAGCAAGGTGGATTCTGGTGAAAGCCCTCTCCCGGGTTGCAGACTGCTGACTTGACTTCTCCCTGTGTCCTCATGTAGTGAAAGGGGCAAGTTAGTTCTCTAGATCCTCTTTGATGTCATTCATGAGGGCTCCACCTAATGACCTAATCACCTCCTCCCAAAGGCCCCAGGTCCTAATAACATCACATTGGTCAGTAGATTTCAACAGATGAATTTTGGGGAACACAAACAATCAGACCATAGCAAACCCATTCTTCAAATTGTAGAAAGTCTAGTACCCTCCCTGTGATTGCTCAGGTATCTTAGGTTCTCACGGTCACCTTTGGCTTTAAAAGCCTGTATTTGAAGTCGTGTACTGATAATTCGGTCTGAATTAATTCAGTTTGTAAATGGACTCAAACCCAAAGAATGTTTAGGTTCCCTCGCGGGTAATCCGTCTAAGCCCTTTTCTGTACTTTCCATTCACCACACCTTCATTCGTGGCTTTTGTGTGTGAGGTGGACGTTGCTAAACATTTCAGAGGTGGAGGAGGCTTATTTTGGAGCAGCAACTGTCCAAACCCATTCACAGCCGAACCCAAGTTGTAAAGCTCGTTGTTGACATCGATTTCCTCTGAAACATGGAAGAAATTACTAGGTCTTCATCCCAGTTTTCCAGTTGGTCAAGTCCTGACTAGGGTGCAGTGGTGATGGGTGATGGGGGCAGACGGTGACACATTGGCCTGAGCTTTGTGGCTTTCTATGGCTAAATATGTGCCAACCATCCTTGATTTGCTATATCAGCTGCCCTCGAGGCCTTCAAAACCTCCTTCTCCATGTCTCAGTACCCTTAGCACAACTCTGCAGCCATTCGAAGGGTATGCCGCTCCCATCAAAGGGGTGCCTGTAGGCCCTGACTCAGTGAAGAGCACCTGGCGATGACCACCACCCACCCCTGTCCCATGGAAAAACCAAAGCTGTCTTTGTTATCCAAAGCCAGGAATGCTTCACTCTGGGGAGTGGGGCCCACAGATGGGTCAGAGGTATCCCAAGTATAAGGTCTCAGTCAGTCACAGACACTTGATGAAGCAGATTCTCTTCTGGAATGTCCCCTAGGGAGATGGCAAGTCCTGCCTGCCCAAGCCTATCCTGCTCGTTGGAAATGTTGATCTCGGACTCTTTATGATGATTTTTGTCTAGCTCTCTTCTGATACTTTAACCCAGACTCCTCTATTTCCTTAATTTGTCTGATCCTTTTTTGTACCATAGCATGTGTCCTTTATAGCAATGCCCAATTCCTTTATGAATCTGGATGCTCGGCTGGAAAGATGGTCTCGGGGAACCAACATGCATTGAGTCCTGACAACAGGCTGGACAGTAAATCCCATTTCAAGTTTACAACTATTCCCATCGGGTAGTTTATTATTATTCCAAAGTTACAGACACGAAACACAAATCTCAGAGAGGTTGAAAGACTGGTCCGATGTCATGTGGATGGAGCAAGCCCATGTTCTATCTATTCTCCATGCTGCCTCACAGAGGACCAGACTGCCTACCTAACTCCAGGTGGTACCCATCCCATCCAATACTTTGATCTCCTGCCTCTCCAAAGGCCCTGTGCTGCCATGAAAAATCTGCAGTTCAGCCCCAGGTCAGGGCAGTGGGGGCTCCCCAACAATTCTGAAAGGAAAGCACCTTTTCCCTCCTCGCTGCTTTTTGCTTCCCTGCTCTTTGCAAATTCCACACTGGAGTAGAATGCTGTGACCCGTGGTACCCAGCGCCACTTAATACCACTGCTGTGTCATCATCTTGGAACAAGTGATGGCCTATCTGGGCATAAAGACTCCTCCAGAGTCCAGCCCAAAGGAGCCCACGTCTGTACCTACAGAAGCTCTACCTTTGGCTGTGTCTACTCTGCACTGACGTGGAGGACTTGCAGGATGCTGCTTGCATTGGAAGCTGAACCAAGAGCTACCAAGGTCTCATTGCCGGACCCCCTCGATCAGTTGTGCTGGCCACATCTGGTTCCCAAGCACAGGCACTGGCACTGTTGGTCTTGCACCCCACTCTGGGCCTGTCTTTATGGGTGACTATCTTCTCCAAACAAGAGAGGGGAAATGAACAGAGGGGCAAGCCCTCCTAGTGCAGTGGGAAGTGATGCGTCTGGGGGAAGAGCTCAGCCCCTTCCTTCTCTCCCAGCTCCCAGTCAGGGCACTGGGCCAGCTTCTTAACTGTACAAATTTATAGTCCTCTCACACCAGCTCATGTTCTCTGTTTACCCCCAACCATCTTTCTTGCTTGGCCAACAAGGAAAAGTTTAAAGTGATTGCCTGCTTATATCTAAAATGCTCCCAGACGGCAGACTTCTTTGGTGCTTGCAGATTTGCATGGAAAGAGAAAGCTGAAAGTTTTATGAGTTGAAAATTCAGACTTATCACTAGATCTAATGCTAGTCGGCTGGGGTTCCAGTGGCTTTTAAACACAGCTAAGTGGGCTTTACCAGAAAGATAGAACTAAATATTTCACCATTTATTCATCTTTCAGCTTTGATGATTGAAAACAGCCTGTTTAGTGGCCCCTCAACCAAAATTCTGACGTGGGGTCTTACCCTTAACTCTTTGGGGAATGGGCCACAATATCTTTAAACACACTGCAAAAAGGCCTGCTGAGTTTATTCCCCGAACCTCCCAAAATGAGGTGTTTTATTTAAAGGGAAAGTGTGTGTGTGTCTTTAGACTAACAGATTCCTCCTGGTTTCACAGAAAGAACATATGATTTGCTCCATCCACTTCACAGAGAAGCTGGGCCTCAGCCCTAGAGTAATGCCAATGGAGACAGGTTGTCAGGTGTTGAAGGAAAATGTGTGTCTGAACAGTGTTTCCAGCCAGGCTGTACGTTTTCATTGCGGACGTGTTGGGTTATGAGTGGTAGCAGTTTCCTTTCTAATTATTATAAATTATATTTTTCTTAATATATGTCTGGATTGTGGCAAACACCCTTTTCAGCACCTACCAGAAGCGATACACACGCAAGGCCAACAGTTTGGAGTCTTAATGGGCCTTTATGTTCCACGCTTGATAGAATTAGAGAGGACATGGATTGGCCCCATTATAAAGTAAAAATATGCATCCCAGAAAAAAAGGAAGATGAGCTTTGTACTTTTAATCAGCAAGTGTATTTGTGTAGTTATTTTTTCCCCTTCAAATTTCTCCCTTTGCTTCAAGGAAAAAGGAAAACTGCTCACGTTTTGCTGTTGGAGTTTCCTGGGGTCCCTATTGGCCTAGTTGTCTGTTTGTAGTGGTTCCGCTAAATCCTTTGACCGGCAAACTTCCACAGACCCCGAATCTTGAATGGTTTCTTCTGCCTCCCGCATGGTTGCGGTTCCTTCTCCTGGGACACTTCTGTTCTTCTGAGACTGAACCTGTGACTCTGTTGCTTTTGCATTTTAGACTTCCAGGTCCTACCACAAGGGTATCCGCTGCAGGCAGCGACGCCAAAACACGTGGAGGGTCGGCCGCTGCTAACAACCGACGCAGTCAGAGCTTTAACAACTATGACAAGTCCAAGCCAGTCACCTCCCCACCCCCACCGCCAAGCAGCCATGAGAAAGGTAAGTCACCTTCTTTGGGGTCCTTTTTGTCATCTTTCTTAGAGCAGATCCAGTTCCTTTGGGGGAGTTGAGTCGGGGCAGGGTTGCTGCTAGGGTGGTGGGGACAGGTCATAGGACATATTTGCCTGGCAGGAGCTTTGTTAGCAAAGACATTAAGAGACATTACTGCCAGCGAGAATAGCTGTATTGGTCTGGGTAGGGCCCTTAAGAAACCTGGCTACAGATAGAAGCAATGTAGATTTGCAACTTAAAAATAAAGTTTCCTAGAGCATGCTCTGTAGAGTTGGTGGTTGTCCAGAAGGGCAAGCTTCTTGGGCTGTGCATTTTGTGAGCTAATAAAGCTTTTTACCCGTCAGGAGTGATGTGAGGGGAGTTACAAGGAGTTTTCACCCTTTGAGAAAAGTCAGAAATGTGGATTGGCTTAATGAAGATCTTGACTACATATAAGGAGTAGGCAACATTGCTCTTAGTGTTCTGATGATGGAACTTTTACCAAAAAAGGGTATGATTTTTACTATACATAGCACTGAGCTTGTAGAATGGAGATAAAACGTGAGTGGCCCTGTGGGGGCTCTTGCTCAGAGCCAGGGAAACAAACTTTTGCTTGCTTCAGTGTGTGTCTCGTTAGACACTGGAGAAACAGAGAAACTGAGGCAGCTTAGAAGATTTTTCTCACTAGGCAGAGCTCTCCTTCATTTCTCCCAGGCAGCATGGTCTAGACTCGCTGGGAGGACATGCTCAGGGCTCTTACAAGCATTTCCGACCTCATGGTTGCTTCCTACGGTTTGTCCAGGATGTGCCCCTCTTCTCCTGAGACCCAGGAGAGCTTCCTCCCACTGCCTGAAGTGCCCCTGGAGCCTGGGCAGCCCTCCGACTGTGGATGAAATCAGAACCTCCCCGCCCCCCACCCCCCTCCAGCTCAGGATGACTTGGTTAGTGGAGCTGGGTGTCCCTCCTCCCAGAACACCCGAGAGAATGCGCAGGGAATTTCTCTAAGGCTGACAGAGACACACGGCAGGAGTTTCCCAGACACGGCATTGGGACTCTGCAACTAGCAGTGAAGCTATAACCAGTCTTGTCTCACCCAGTCAAGACTGTGATCCAGCCCTTGGCTTCTGCCGCAAGCAAACCATTTTTCTTCTTTTCTCTCTTCCCCCCAACCTCTCCTCCCCTACCCGCCCTCCTTTCTTCACAATGCCCAAGTGTGTTCTTTTTTAAAGTGTGTTCTTTTTTAAAGTGTGTTTAAATTACAGAAATAATATATGCTTTTAAACTGGTACAAGTATGTATCAAATAAAAGTTCTCCTTTATACGCTCCCTGAGGGATTCCAATATAAACCGCCCTATGCGTACCCTTCAGAACGCTCCACCGTATATTATGTCTCTGTGTGTGTACACACATATAAAATATATAGAAAGGTTTTGTTTTTTTATATATAAATAAATAGCTACATTTTATGAGTACCTACTATGTGCCGCACTGAATTCCCCCAAACCAGCTATGTTGATTCCTATTTTACAAAGGATGAAACCAAGGCAGAGAGAGGTTAAGTACTTGCTGAGGTCACCCAGAGATAGTGAGAGGTGTAGTGGGAAGTGAGCCCAGGCACTTTGATTCCAGAATCATGATGAATACTGTGCTTTTCATGGAAGCAGAAAGGAAAGGCTGGAGGCCTGACCCAGTAAAGGCTAGTTTGAGAGGTTCAGGTTGAGCTAGAGGGAGAGTTGGGAAGATGTTAGGGAAACCTGTACCCTCTGTTGGGCCAGCCTACCCTTGTCTCATGATCATTTAAGGAGAAACTATCATGTAAAAATATGAAGGACGGTTGTGAAACCATAGTCCAAGAAATGGAGGAAATAAAGAGAAAGTCCTGTGGATGGAACAGGTGTGGGAGGATGCAGAGTTGGTGGCTGGAACCGTGTTCCAGTCCCTACCACATACCCAGGGCCACTGAGGCAGCCCGGCCAGTTGCTGTCCATCAGTGATGAGACAGCCACCAACCTACCTCTGTCCTGGGCAGGGGTTGCCATGTGTGCACCAAGCCAGAGAGCCGGGAGGCCTCTTAAAGGACTGTGGCTGTGACTAGGCATTGCCCGAGGGGTGGACTTTGGTGTCAGAAGTCATACTTAATTATCGAGCACATACTGTTTCCCGGGGACTTGGATGTTCACTTTCTTACTTGATCATCATGAACATGCTGTGACGTAAATATCACTCATCCAATTTTACAGATAAAAGACTAATTTAGTAACTTGTCTTTCCTGGTCATTGAGCCCTAGAATTCATATCCAGGTTCAACTCTGATTTGACCTCTGGCTCTGGCCTGAGCCCTTGGATCTCTGTAATGAGGATGCAGTGGGGTAATTCATGTGAGAATGTTTGGTGAGCTAGGACGCTCACAAAGTCCTTTTAAGGATTCTGAAGGATAAAAACAATTGACCATGGTTCCAGGTGTGAGGGATCTGGGATAAAGCAGGCTTGAGGAAGATCTGTATATTTTTATACTGAAACCTTTTCACCATCCTGGGGTGAAAAGTCAGTGTGATTGTTGTATTTCCTCTTCCTTTCTTCATGGTCCCCTGTTCTCCCTTGAATCCGATCTTGATCACAGATTATGAGGTAGCCAGCGTACACACAAAATATAGTGCATGATGAGGGAACAGAAATAACTCAACCACCTGGCCATAAGAGAGCATCCTTCACTTGGAGAGAGACACACACTTGTGAGCAGATAAATTGCATTTCATTGTGGCTGGTGCTGCAGTTGAGGTACGGACCACTTTCAGATGAGGTTTGTGATATAATCTCTTCACCTGTCCCTCATGTGAGTCAGTCAGGCCCTGGGTGCATTGTTCTGGCATTCCACTCCTAGGTGAACCAACTCACAGATTTTTATATGTAACCCATTGACCCGGGAATTCCACGCCTACCAGTTGATCTAATCACATAAGTAAGTCAAATGAGAATTTCAAATATTCTGTTAATAAATGACAAAAATATTTCAACACACAGTCACATTTTTTAAAAGGAACTAAGAGGAATAAAAGGACATTGTAACAGGCAATTTTTTAAAGCCCTGGAGTGCTTTATACTTTGTGGGGAAATGCTAAAGGATTCCCCAAGATTTCTTGTCCAGACATGTAAGTCCCCTCTTGTCATCATCTATAAATTTAGTTCTGATTACAGCAAACAATCACCTGAAATGGGAGATGGAAGAAAAGCCATACTTCACCCAAAATTCCTTAGCTCGTTCCATGAGGTGACCAAGCACACAGCTGAGACATAAAAACCAGAAATGTTCCTGTACAGCACGACAGCCTGGTAATTTCCCTGGTTGTCATTATGGGTCTCCCGGTGAGGTCCGCCTGTGGTTTCCAGCCCTCACTCCTGCAGGCACGAGCAGGCTCAGCCTTGCCTGGCCTGGGGAGGTGTCAGCGGGTTGCACTGCAGAGCAGGTCGAAGAATGCCGGACGCCCGGTGGCTGTTCTCTTCCTCTGTTGGCTCCGAGTGGCTCTGGGCTTCAGACCAGAATCGCAGATTTTCAGGGGAGAGGAATTACCTGTCTTTTTCAGTATTTGTGATGTTATCTGTTTTCTCTTCCTCTTCTTTCCTCACATCCTCTGAATGGTTTAACGCTGCCAGATAGCAAATACATTGCGGAACTAGGTGGTCCGTCAGGTGGGTTTGAAATGTATCGTATTCCTAGACTGAATTCTGTGCATGTGGAAGATGTTTTCTTCTGAAGAATATGGTTTTCTTCATTTTATAGAAAGTGTATCTTTATTACATTTTCGTTATAAAAATTATTTAACAATATTCAAACAACACAAATTTATTAAAAGGAAAAGAACCCTACATAATCCCACCTTTCAGAAATAGCCACTGTAGCTTCTGTATTTCTTCATGTCTATACTATCATCTTTTGGTAGATAAATTTTTCCTAATGTTAACTATTTGCCAGGTACTATTCTAAGTGCATTATAAGTAACAGTTTGTTTAATTATTACAGGAGTAATATACACTTGCATACATACATACTCTCACACACATGTGCATATGATTTTTAAAATCTTATAAGTAAAATCAACAAATCAAGGATAAGCTTTTCACAGGTCATTCTTTCTTCATAATAGTTGCATTGGTGCTCAACCATATGAATTTACCTTAATATTTGTAATACTTGGTTTAGGTTGCTTCTATTTTTTTGATATTGTAAATAGTACTAAAATTAACATCCTTATAGATTTCTTTTGCATGTATACAACAGTTTCAGTGGAATTGCTGCATTAAAGGATATGCACATTTTACAGTTGTTTTAACATTGCCAAATTTCCCTCCCAAAAGGTTATATCTATTTTTAATTCCCATCAACAGTGTATGAGGGGACTTGTTTCTCTACACACTTGACACCACTTTTATTTTCATTCCCTTGGGCAGAAAATACTCTTTGAAATGAAGTAAATTATTTTAAGAAGCTATTTGAAATAAGACAAGATCACTGGCCATTTTTACTGACCTGTGCTATGAGTTACAACCAGTGACCTTGGCAGGGCACGAAAGCTCTTGAACTTGAGATCAAGCTCTCTCTCTGCTGGCTACCATGGCCTCACTCAAGGCACTCACCTTCTCTGGCCGTGGTTTCTTCTTCTGTAAAGTGAGCCTGGGGTTGTCCATCACCATGTCACTGTGAAGTGTGAATGACTTCTTCAGGTTTCACTGGCCACATAGCCTTGTCAGATGGGCGCCCCGTTGGTGCTTCCTGGTAGGTTTCTTCCTCCGGTCTTCATTCTGTGCCCTCCCTCCCTCTTTGCTCACTCCGGCCTGTCACCGGGAAGGGGAGAGTCAGACATGGCTGGAGACAGAGTTTTACAGCCTTCAGCACGATGTCATGTCCGAGCCACATTAGGCCCATTGATCTAGAATCTCTGTAAACTTGTCACTTTGTGGTTGGTGAACCAAGTGATTTATCTGAGTTAGTGATCGGGAGATGTAACCATGA